CTTTTTTTGTAATAATCTCCCGTTGTCATCTCTGAAATTGTTAGCTTTTTTTCTTCGTTTTCTTCTTGGATTACTTGTTGCGCCACTGCTGATATATGTAAGCAGGGGAGAGCCGAAAGCCCGTCAAGCTGCATGATGCAGCTTTTTTTCCGCGGTCATAATCCGTCATACGTGTTTTGAAGGAGAAATGAACATTGTTATTATTATTATGACTTCCTCCCATGGACCCCTTTGCAATTATTTCTAAAGGTATTGCAAATATAATCAGGCTAACACTAACAAATATTATTTCCTGTCGAGGACCCTAATATATATATATATATACATATAGATCGACGTTTCGGCCTGAGCCAGAGCTTGAAAAAGGTCTGGCTCAGGCCGAAACGTCAACCTGTATGTAATAAAACTCCACCAAAAGCATCGAGGTACGTTTAATTTCCCATATATACATATATATAGGTAAAGGTAGAACGTTGGGGCTATGAGAAGTGACGAACAAATCGCGCTGGCACGAACGGTAACTTCAGGGCACTACGGAGCTACTCACGCGCTCAGTCTGAAAACTACTGGTATAATAGATTTCGATGACACTCAGCAAGTTTTAAATTGGAGTTATATGTTTATTTTCACTGATTAAGAAGTTAATTAACACACCTTACCTAATTAAAAACTCACCTGCACAAGTCACATAAGCGTAGCTTTCACGGCGTTTTTTAATTAGTGTCACTCTTAAGAAAAACACCCTGTATATATGTCCTTTAAAACTACTAAAATATGCTCATATATTCTCGCAAGTCTATTTGGCGAATTTTCGCAACAATGAATTTTATCAGAGGATTAAAGAGCAGCCAAGGGGATCCCACTTTGCAAGGAAGGAGATATTCTTAATCCACGTAATTGTTATTCACTTTCTTTGACAAGAAGCTATGCAAACATTTTGAGGATGTGGAATATTTCACTTTAAATACTTTTTCAAAATTAAGCAGTATGTGTCGTCGTTTTCAACTTAACTTTCCTAAATAATTGTCATGTGAAACGCAGGTCCTGCTTACTTTCGTTGAGGGTGACTAAGGTAGATTGCAAAACTTTGGATTTCTCGGAAGCGTTCGATAAAGTATACCAAATATTACTCTTAAAAATACCAACTTATAAATTATCCCCCAATACGCGCATATAAGTAGATACTTTTTACTTAACCGTAAACACTTTTTATGTGTATAGAATTATATCTATTATCTGTTATGTTTAATATTTCAGCTAGATGTGACTTTAAACACAAAGTTGCCATCCAAGATGACCGCACACGCAGGGTGAGACTCTAAGGACTAACACATTTGGCACGCGTTGTGAACTTCGATCTCTAAACGTACGTATCTAAAATTTGTCACGCGAACGTTGTTTCGCCAGAAGGTTTATGTTCATTTTTAGAGCTCAATCGTGAAGTAGTTAAATATTAAAAATAATTCAGCCTGTTGGTCTGCTGAACGCTAAAACGTTAAACGCCAATGAGAGAGGCCGGCGATGGGCAAGATAATCGCAATGATATATAGTTTTAACGAAACAAATGAACAATGAACACCTGGGAGCAAGTTCACGGATAAATGTGCTGACGACGAACATCCGGTATAGGGCATGGGAAATGCGCGGACCACGTTTTTGTTCTATGTTTTATATTTTACCATCTATGATTTGAGCTCTTAAAACCATACACACAAAACGTCTTACGAAACTAAGCTCCTCTGCCCAATGTCAGGTATGTACACTTCAAATTCGAATTACCTAACGCGTAACAAATGTGTTAGTCGCTACGGCTGCCTCCAGTATATATTCCACCACAGTTTCGTGCCATCCATAGCCTGCAACTAAAGCCACCTTCCTGCTGCCATAATATTATAAAAAAAAACAGTTTTTGATTGGGCCTTAGTTTGCGTCACCATTATGTTACCGATGTTTAGAGTAGTTTCGTACGCGTTATACTTTGCTTTTGCTGGTCTAAGCTCAATTACCTGCTTTAATTCCTCCGCCGTAAGGACAAATGAAAAATGAATAAATGAACGAATAAATATAAATGCAAAAAAACGTAATTCCACCATAAGGTTTTTGTTGCTTTCTGCGACAACATTCATCCCACCTCTATTTAATAAAGTGAATGTGTATCTCAATGCTTGCCATTTTCTTCTACCTAAAAGCAAGACCTAAGCTCATTAAGAGGCGTAAGGTTGCTAGCTGTTCGTTCCGTCCTCAAGAGCTGTGCTCCAATTCGGCGTTACAGGGAGTCGTAAACAGCTTTCACTTTTTTTGTTTAAATTTATGTTATTTTATTTGTTTACCAGTTTATTCTTGAAGCGTTTCCTTTTGGTTTATTTCTTTTCTATCATCATAGTAAATTGTATTGTACCGTACATTTATTTAAAGCAATTTCTTTATTCCAGATTCGTGGATCCTCAGTCTTCTTCCTCATGTGTTTTTTTATGCATCAGCTACTTACATTTTATTCTGCTCTTTCGAAGTATTGCGTTCTAAAACGTCAGTGTTGCGTTTTAAAACCTAAAGACCATGTTGGGAAAACAAAAATGTCAATTTCGTGTAATTGACGACGCAATTCAAAAGGCTAAACAATTGAACCGCGAGGACTTAATTGCGAACCGCTCCTCCCAACCCGACCTATAACGCACAAATTTATTCCTAACTTACAGCACGAACTTTCCTAATGTAAATAAATGGTTTACTGAGACGGCACCATAATATTCTAGAACAAAGCAAACGTCTTAAACGTGCGTTTCCTTCCACCCCCAGTGTTTTTTACAGACGGTCACGTAACCTAAGAGACTCACATATAAACTCTCGACTGAATTCGTCACTGTCAAATGGCGAATGCAAGCCGTGCACGAAACCGCGACGTCTGGTCCGCAAACAAATGCTATATACTAGCGGTGCTAGCAGCACACAATCGCAATTGTCCTTAAACATTCGAGGGAACCTGACGTGTGACTCTTCAGATGTGGTTTATTTGCTTGAGTGCAAAGTCTGCAAAATGCTATATATAAGGCAAACAAAGACACCATTCAAGAAACGCTTTAATAACGACAAATCTCCTTCAAAATCGCTCCCAAGCCTACCTCTTTCAAAGCATTTTAGCCTCCCATACAGACTTGGACGTAGTTCAACTACTCTACTCAAACTACTGTAGTTTAAATATTTTTTCGAGTAACTTCGTAACTTTAAATTACTTTATTTGGCTAACTAGTAGTTTAATTCAGCTACGTTTCCCAGGTAACTTATGCTCAAATTACTAACTACTTTCGAAATCCAGTGCTAATTTTGCTCATGACGAAAGTTTGTGCGCAGAAATAAATAAGACGCCGGCAGATCAAGTGGCATTCCCGAGCAAGGGACCCCCTCGCATTGCGTTCCTACGCACTTATACACTACATCAGAGGGGTCCATGGGTAAAGGTGGCGAGAAACAGCCAAAGCATAACACCGGCGCGCACGAACGCAGGGAGAGATGCTTAAGAAGCCCTTGTCGGGTATTGACCTAATCCGGTAATGCACGCAGGCGCCGCGCCTCCAGGTGCAACCGTGAAAGACGGGGACACTCCAAGGGTTGTTGCTGTTTTCATGTTGTCTGCCTTTAGTGAGTTCTGCCTCAAGCGACCTGGTTCTTCCCCGGGAAGCTCTACTGGAATGACCTCGCAGCTGGGCGCCTGTTGCCATGGTCGTCTCGTCGTCAGCGCATAGCCTTTGCAAAGCCGGACTCCCCCGCGCACAAACGCAGACGCGGATAATCCGTTCATGGGAGCACCTTCTCGCTTCTAGCTGCAATTGTACGAGAGACGATGCTTGTTCACGTAATCTGCCGCGTCCTTCCGACCTTCCACGCCACGGAGACTCCCTCTTTGTTGAAAACGATTTACTTGTCAGGCGTGTCGTGCGCCGGCGAGGATTGCGAGACTTGAACCTTGGAAGATGCTTTTGTTGGACCAGGCGTCAGCGGCGAATTATACTTCGTTTCATCTTCCGTTAAGCAAAAACATTTTTTTTTTCTCTTTTCAGTAGCGTATCACTAGCACTGCAACGTGACGCGCACTCGTCCGGATGATCTCATCGTCGTGGCGCGAGACTTGAACCCTTGACTGTCAGTGTTCGGTGCACGCGCTCTGCGCACTCTGCGAACGTCGTGGGAATAAAGAGGGGCCAGTCATAACAATCTACCCTTGCCGAAGAAAAAAGAAAAAGAGGAGGAGAGTTTGTCATAAAAGACCCTTTAGACGAAGCAAACCTCACATATTTCGTCATAAACACCTTAGATGCCGACACTCGCGTACCCGACCCTGCACAGCCTGTTTCTGAAATTCAACTCTGCCGTTCCATCCAGCTCGTCGGTGGAACGTCTTTTTAGCTTCGCTTAGGACGTCTTTAGGAGGAAAAGGGGAAAACTCTCGTATCAAGAACTTTGAAAGTCAATTCTTTCTGCGAGCGAATACTGTTTTGGTGAACACGCAAGCCATTAAATGACTGCATTTATTTTAGGCTCGCAGGGTTTTTCACGGATCAAAACTGCTGTTCATTTTGCTACTACAAAAATATAAAAAAGTAACATCGAAAGTAACTTCAAAGTAACTCGCTACTTTTTACAGAAGTTACCCTACCGAAAAATTCGGTATAAATTTTCGCTATCCGGATTATGGAACCGGAAATCTACCTGGATTCTATTCGAGTTCTGTCTGGAATTTACGTTTTCAGAAATTATTCTTTGTCTAGAATGTGGATTTCGGGTTTCCAGAAACAAATTTCCGGTTCCATAATCCGGATAGGGAAAAGTTATACCGAATTTTTCGGTACGGTATTAGTTTACTCAATTAATATTACACATTTTCTAGCAGCAGCGGCAACAAGCAACGAACACCGGGCTAACCGCTCCTCTGCCATTGCAGTGAGCATCGACGTACCCAACGCTGCGGTTCCAACTGCGACGCAAGTCAGGCTGCTTGCCCATCTGCATCACAGTCTGCACTGCTGGAGGCCACGAGCACAGTCCCGCCCCCGCAAATCAACCTCCAGCGTCATCCGGGTGCAGTGCCTTGTCTAGGCGATAAAAGGGCAGCCCGAGCGCCGAACACGTCATTTCTGGCAGCAGCGGCAACAAGCAACGAACACCGGGCTAACCGCTCCTCTGCCATTGCAGTGAGCATCGACATACCCAACGCTGCGGTTCCAACTGCGACGCAAGTCAGGCTGCTGGCCCATCTGCATCACAGTCTGCACTGCTGGAGGCCACGAGCACAGTCCCGCCCCCGCAAATCAACCTCCAGCGTCATCCGGGTGCAGTGCCTTGTCTAGGCGATAAAAGGGCAGCCCGAGCGCCGAACACGTCATTTCTGGCAGCAGCGGCAACAAGCAACGAACACCGGGCTAACCGCTCCTCTGCCATTGCAGTGAGCATCGACGTACCCAACGCTGCGGTTCCAACTGCGACGCAAGTCAGGCTGCTTGCCCATCTGCATCACAGTCTGCACTGCTGGAGGCCACGAGCACAGTCCCGCCCCCGCAAATCAACCTCCAGCGTCATCCGGGTGCAGTGCCTTGTCTAGGCGATAAAAGGGCAGCCCGAGCGCCGAACACGTCATTTCTGGCAGCAGCGGCAACAAGCAACGAACACCGGGCTAACCGCTCCTCTGCCATTGCAGGTTGGTTGGCATATTAGTGTATTACTTTTTTTTTTTTTCACGTTGCTGCTGCTGCCAGCGGTGTTTCTATTGCTTTGTCGGCGAGTGTTTCGTATATATGGCGGAAGCATTGTGTTCAAAATGTAAAGAGGAGATACCCCATAGGGAGCAGTCTATTTCGTGCTGTGAATGTGAATACCCGTACCACATCGGAAACTGTGCGGGAATTTCCGAAACAACGCTAAAAACGAAAAGAGAAGCATACCGTAAAGCATAGAAGTGTCCCACTTGCCGAGCAGCTAAACTAAAAGGTGGCGCGACAAGTAAACAGAGGCAAGATGGTGACATGTGGGTCTTGTTAGCGGCCATGAACGAAAAATTAGATAATCTGTTAGCCATAAAGGAAACAGTTGGTAACATTGAAGCGTCAGTGCAAGTTATGTCAGACAAATATGATGAAATACTGAGCCATATTACTGAGCAGAAGCAAGATATAAAGGATTTAAAGAGGCGGGTTGAAAAAATCGAAAACGCTAACAAAAAAAACGAGCTTAGCAAAATGAAAACTGAACTTCACGAGCTTGAATGGAGAAGTCGCAGGCTGAATCTGGAATTCCATGGTGTTCCGAAGACTGACGGTGAAGACTTGTTGAACAAGGTCAATGAAGTAGCGCGCAGCCTAGACGTTTCTGCACTGAATATTTCCGACGTAGCGGCAATTCACCGACTGCCATCAAAGTCTGACAGGACACCAGGTATTATTGTCAGGTTCGTATCTCAACTGACAAGAGACCTGTGGCTGAGCAGGAAGGCTAGACTTCGTACCATCGGGAACAAACTTTACATCAATGAGAACATGACCAAACAAAACAGAGAATTACTGGCCAAGGCAAAAGATTGGGCAAAAAGTGCAGATTTTACTTACGTTTGGCACAAGGACGGAAAGATCTTCGTTCGTCGCCAAAGTGGTGAACGAGCGTTTGTGATAAGGTGCGAGGATGATCTGCAAGCGATAATTTCCTGATCAAATTCTTGCTCGCCTTCAACTCTTGTTTAATAAAAAAAAAAAAAAAAGTTATGGCAGAGTGTTCATACTTGCTTCCTGTTGATATCGTGCAACATATTGGTCGTAGTTTTGATTCATCATTCAAAGCATTTCACTTGAACGTACGGTCAGCTAAGCATAAGGCGGCAGATCTTGAATGTCTTTTTAGCCAGTTTTCAGTTCGATTTAATGTGATCATGTTAACTGAAACGTGGTATTCTGACGAAGCGGATGCATTTCATTTGCCATCGTACAAATGCTTATGTTTAAATCGTACCTTTAGTCGTGGCGGAGGTGTTTCAGTATTGATAGATGAAAGCATGTCACATAATTTATTGCCAAATTTCTGTATGATTACCCATGATTACGAGGTGTTATCACTCATATCAGGCGATATGCTTATCTCTGTCGTCTATCGTCCACCAGACGGTAACGTTTCAAATTTTTTAGCATTTTTTGAGAGCCTTCTGGGATTCGTTAGTGACAACAACCTGAACGTGATAATTGGCGGGGACTTTAATATCAATATGCTGCTGTGTGCTATGCCTAGTATTGAGTTAGAAATGTTGCTTACAACATATGGATGTGTCAACGTAATCACGAAGCCAACAAGAATTACACAGCAGTCGGAGACCTGTATCGACCTTTTTATAACAAACGCTGAGGTTACCCGCCTAAAAGGAGGGATTTTTATGTCTCATATTAGCGACCATCTCCCAATATTCCTATGCATAAAAGATGCACGTTGTCTCAAAAATAGTGTGCACTCACCTATATATTTTCAAGTTATTACACCTGATAATCTTGAAAGGTTTTGTAATGATATTGCAAATGAAAACTGGAATGACGTTCTTAACGCAACAGATGCCGATGTAGCTTACAATGTATTTCTGGACCAGTTCAAAATTCTTTATGCAAAAAACTTTCCTTATAAGAAAATTAAAAAATCAGGTAAAATTCGAAAGCCTTGGATTACCCAAGATCATCTAGCTAAAATCAAAGATCGCCTCTTTCAGAAATTTAACAGATCGAAAAATCCAGACGACCTTAAGAAATTCAAATTTTATCGGAACCAGCTGACAAAGGAGCTTCGAAATGCCAGGACCCGTTATTACTACAATAGTTTTAAGTCACCCAATGGACGTGTGGACGAAATTTGGAAAAGGTTAATTCAGTCCTACAAGACAATAGGGCGCATGACTACGTTGAAACCCTACGCGTAAATGGCAAAGGACTCAAGGGTACTGATCTGGCTAATGCATTTAATGATCACTTTGTTAACCTGGCTACTTTGACACATGATTCAGATGCCTGCAGATATATTAAAAATAGGAACATGAATTCAATCTTCTTGGATCCTGTCACCGAGTTCGAGGTATCAAATGTGTTTATAAACCTAAAAAATACGAAAAGCAGAGACATAGATGATATCCAGATCAAACCTGTGAAATATGTTGTACCTTTAGTGGCACGATACTTAACGCATATATTTAACTTGTGCATATCGGCTGGCGTTTTTCCCAAACGTATGCAGATTGCTAAAGTCTGTGTACTGCATAAGAAAGGTGATAAGAACGATATTAACAATTATAGGCCAGTGTCGATTCTCCCTGTTTTCTCGAAAGGACTTGAAAGAGTTATTTATGCACGTCTGGTAAATTTTTTTTGATAAGCACAGCTTAATTACCAAATCGCAGTTCGGGTTTCGTAAACATCGTTCAACTCAACTAGACCTCCTTGAAGAAAAAGAATTTATTTTAAGAAGTCTTGAGGATCGAAAACTAGTGCTTGCGGTTTATGTTGATTTCACGAAAGCATTCGATTATTTGAATCATAAATTGCTGTTACTAAAACTCGAATCTTATGGTGTCAGGGGTCAGGCTTTACTTCTGCTCCAGTCTTACCTAGAAAGCCGAAAGCAATATGTGTGCTACAATAACTTTTCTTCTGTAATAAAACCGATAGTTGTTGGAGTACCACAAGGAAGTATATTAGGTCCTTTTCTTTTTAATGTGTATGTAAACGACATCCTAAATATTGACCCATCAATAAAATTTGTAATGTACGCAGACGACACGACATTACTTTACAAGGCTAAGGATGCAGATGAGCTTGTACATAAAATAAACTCAGTACTGGGGGAAATGTTTCTATGGACTAATAAGAACGCTTTGAAAATAAACATAAATAAAACAAAGGCTGTTATGTTCCGTCCTAAGAATAAAGTTCTCGAATCTATAGAGCCAATTATTCTTGACTCTACCGAAATCGAATTCGTCGACAATTTTAAAACGTTGGGAGTTGTTTTCTCTCAGAATATGTCATGGGACTTACATATTCAGGATTTATGTAGGAAATTGTCAAAAACTACTGGATTAGTTTGCCGCCATCGATATACATTTCCACCATCTGACAAAATGTTGTTATATAAATCACTGTTTTATTCATACCTAAATTACTGCTCTTTGGTCTGGGGCACAACTACGGCAACGAACCTAGAAAAAATATACTTATTTCAAAAAAGAATGCTACGGATTATTGCAAATACAAGTTATTTATCACACACAGAAAGCTTGTTTAAAAAATATAATGTACTTAGTGTTCATGAGCTTTACAATTATAGACTTTCCTTAAGGCTTAAGGCAGAAGCACAAAATAATACTTCATTCTTGATTGATCTATCTTGTTTGCAGCAACATGTAGCACCATATACGCTTCGAAACTCTGATCCTTCGCAAGTACCTACTTGCCGATTGAATTCCGGGATGGAAATGTTGGCCCACCGTAACCCAAGGCTTCTCAACTTTTTGCATTCATGTGATGTTTGCCTGCATGAAACACCTCTGAAAGGGCTACGTATCACTTTGCTTAATTTATCAACGTAGATATTATCACGCTTTATTGTCAAACCCTAAAAAGTATGCGTTTTTTTCTTGTTTTGTTATTATCTTTTGTATCAACTAAAGTTTCCACTGCTGCTGCAGAATGTACTGGGGCCGAGAGCTCGTCAAGCCGCCTAGTGCGGCTTTTTTTCTCGGCTCCGCCATTACCTGTAATGGAAATAAAGCTATTATTATTATATTATTATTATTATTATAAATGCGTAATTTCTACTGTACTCCAATCACTTTTGGCGTCGATCACTCAGTAAGTTAACTTAACTACCTTTTTTGAGTAATTTGTACATGTCTGCAGTCCCACATCATTCGTTCCAGAAACTTCCGGTAACAATCCTTGGAACCGGATTTAAGTCAGACCGCGAACAGGGGGCAGCGCGAATCGTATCGCATATACCGATTCAACACGTTCGATAAAGAAATAAATGAAAATCCAGAAACACTTGCAGCGACTAAAACGTTGTCTAAGAATTAAATGGGAACCCCAATACTCACCCTGACCAAGTGGCACTGTGTTTCCAGTTGGAATTGAACCATTGTTGTGTCTGTGCCTGCGTGTGCGCGCGCGCTCGCGTGCGCGCGCGCTCGCGTGCGTGCGTGCGTGCGTGCGTGCGTGCATGCGTGTGTGCGTGCGTGCGTGTGTACGCGAGTGTGTGTACGTGTGTGTGTGTGCGTGTGTGTGTACGTGCGTGCGTGCGGGCGTGCGTGTGCGTGTGTGTGTGCGTCTGTGTGTGCGTGTGCGCGCGTGCGTGCGTGCGTGCGTGCGTGCGTGTGTGTGTGTGTGTACTTGCGTGCGTTCGGCGTGCGTGTGTGTGTGTGTGTGCGTGTTCGCGCGCGCGCGCGTGCGTGCGTGCGTGCGTGCGTGCGTGCGTGCGTGCGTGCG